TTTTTGCAGCCATTTCTCTCCTTGTTGTTCCCTTTTCCACTGTCGGTCTGTGTTCCCACTCTTCTGCTACTATGAGTGTGTGTTTGTGTGTGTGTTCAGTGTGGTTTGTCAGTGCACAGTCACAATATTCTTTTTCTCATCTCTTTACTGCCTTAAGATGATCTGATCTTGATTACAGATCCAGATAGTGTTCACTTACCAAAACTCCATTTCCTTCATCGTTTGGAGATTAAATCACTTCCTTCTGCTTGAAAGAAGCAAAAAAAGAAGTAACCCCCTGCATTCACGTCGGCACCACTCTGCATTACAGCACCTTTTCCACCTGATTGGCTGGCCTTTCCAGATGCTATCAATGAGCAGGTGATTTTGGTGCAGCCTATAAGTTCTGCATTGCAGAGGAATAGTCTGAAATCAGTGAACCAGGACAGAAGTGTGGGTAACGTTGCGTTCTCTTTGTGCACAGTGCACTGTAATGATGCACTGTGAGTAATAAGCTTCAGACTTGGAAAAGAAAATAGATTTGCCTCCGTGTCAGTCTGATGCTTCAGTAGAATATATTCCCGCATGTATTCATAGCACATAAAACTGTGAATATGTGAAGCTTTGTGATTAGCCGTGTGTTTATCATGTACCTGTTTGTCTAATGCATCTGACTCAGTTGTCGAGGTCACATATATTTTATATCAAGTTTTATTCAAGAATGAAAGTGTGACTCACCGTCATGTATTTTTAAAATTGATTTCAAAATTGAAATTGGCCAAATGTTAGCGCCTGACTGTCAGTGGTTGCATTTGCATAATATACTAGAACAGTATGTTATTTACCACAACTGAATGAAAAAAAATGTAGGTAAAAAGACCTTTAACATGCTTTCTGGGCCACACAGTGTCAGATGTGTTCATCCTGCCTGCCTTACAGCATGTAGGTCACCAGTTTGATGGTCCAGTCCTGGCTCTTCTATAATCCTATCAAAACGCTGCTTCCTCAGCACCACAGCAGACCAGAGTGGGATTCAAACCCGGGATTCACTGATAACAGGTCTGATCCTGAAATAAAAGTTGAATGAATGAGTGCTCAGCACTTTTATTTCTTTGTAGTCAGTTTTAAAGTGAGAAATAATGACACTCAGTCCAGTGAGCAGCGAGGCTCAGCTGTGACGGTGGACTGACAGCAGAGCTCCAGACGTGAAACAAACAGCAGTTGGTTTTTACTTTACTTTCCTTTTCCTCCGCTAATGAAAATATACAAAACTAAATATACATAACAAAACTCAACCTTTTTTTGTCCTTGTGTCTCTAATAATGGAACATGTTCTCCTTTATCATCAGTTTGTCCCTGGTTTGTTTTTCTTCTGTTGCATCAGCCTTTCTGTTCACTTCACTTCATGTTAGCAAAAAAACCCATTTGAACAGACGTTATCGAAATGAGTAGGTTTGAACTTTAATGTTTTTATTTTACCTGCCATATCAGGAGTAATTACTATAAGACTAGCAGAGGGGGTGGGGGGACGACCTTGAGTGATTTTTTTTTTTTTTTTTTGTCATGTGAGTGTTAGCGCTGTGCTAACTGGTTGGGTTAGATCCATAGAGTTGGCTGTAAGGGGTCTAACACGTGGACGGACACTCAGCTGTGACACAATGAGAAATGGCTGCGGAGCTCTGATCCCACTCCCCACTGTCACCATTCACATGCTAATTCAGAGCCACTCATGACTGATCTCCCCCAGCCTCGGAGCCCAGAGTCCCTGCACTGAGCAGGGGGGACATGGCAGTGTCTATTGTCCCTAAGAACATGGACAAACCTACAAACATTTTACAAACTCTCCTCATCAGTTTTATTTGTTTCGTATGAACTTCAAATAGTCACTCAAAATTCAACATTCAAAAGATGCTACTGTTCCGTCAGATATACGTATGTGTTATATTTATTCAGTGTGTGTTGTTTCTGGTGTTACCTGTGGGGACATTTTGCCCGTCAACCTTTTGTTGCGGTTTGAGGTTTAGGGTTAGAATGAGGGTCCTATCACGGTGAGGCATAAGGTCGGGGTGAGGGCTGGGGATGGCGTTATGTCTATGTGAAGAACACACGAAATCTGTGTGTGCACAAACAGAATCATTAGACATGTGTAAACACACTGGTTAACAACGAGCTTGTTTTGTCTGGAACAGAATCCGTGTCACATTATCTATAGACAGCGTTCTCATTTTCTGTGTTTGGTTAAGAAATAAGACGCAGTTTTCTGTGCAGATAACACGACATCTCTTTGTGTGATTCGAAAAACATTAAAATGTGTGGAAACAGTTTCTTTTAGGAAAAGCTTTTTTTTTTACTCTACCAGGATGTGTGTCCTGGTAAACTGGGCTAGTCATCGTCATGGAGACGAAAGACTGATTTGAATTGAACCTAACTCATTAACTCCTGAGTCTTTAGGTAAACAGTAATACTTGAAGTAAAGATGAAAGGAAGAGTTTTACTAGTTTACCTAATGTAATTTGAGAGAAAGAGAGAGAGAGAGAGAGAGAGAATTCTCTCTCTCCTCTGTCTAATACTTCTTATGTGGCAGCAGGGTCATCTATAAATAACATGATGTTCATCTACAGGAGGGGGTGACTGGGATCTGGCCAAGTGAAGGGAGAAAGTGTGTGTGTGTGTGTTTATATGAGTGTTCAGTCTGGAGTAATCTTAGAGCAGCGCTGAGCAGAGCTGCCTGGCTGGACTTTCAGCAGTCCAGTTGTAAACTGTAACGAAAGCAGCAGTTTAATGAGGAAAGAGTAGTAAATGTCTCTGCTCCACTCTGCCCTCTCTGGCAGGTCCATGTAAATACACCATCATGTGCCTGACTCAACTGTTGACTTATTTGTCTCAGAACTCTGCAGTTACAGTTCAAGTCCAATCTAGTCGTCCGATGGAGTGTCTGTAACGATCACTCATTAGTTTTGGTTTCAGTAATGTACTGGAAGACAATGTTACATCGGTGACACACATCTGTGGGAAACAGGGTGACGTGCAGTGTGTGGGTAACACAGTGGGGACAGAAAGAGAAAAATGCTTACGGGCAGTTTTAGTTTTGTTGGATTAAAGGAAGGCTGTAAACAAATATTTGTGTATTAAACTGACTATCATCACATGAGACAATGTTTACAACAAAACCAAGCATTATATATATATATAAATATATATAAGGAATATACTTTTGTACAGAAAGTGAGCAGAGCTTTGACACAATGTTACTAAGTAGCACTGTTTTCATGTCTCAACAAACACACAACCTTGTTAAAGTGGTCTGGTCAGCTCAGCCAGCTGAGTCTGACTCTGTAGGTCACTCTGTTCATTACAGAGTGACCTACAATACAGAGACAACCAAGCGTTTACGTGGAAAAATGAGGCAAACCCAAACAGACTTTCTTCTGAAAAACAAGAAGAAGTAAAATAATATGTAAATGTAAATAGACAAAGGAAGCAGGTGAAGCTGTGGAGTCCTCTAAGGCTCTTCCTGTGTCATGTCTATTGACTGACATGTTTGTTCCGTCAGCTCAGCAGCTTTAATATTGAACTCCTCTGGAATCACCAACAGGCTTTTCTGTCACACAAGCTTCTAAAATCCAATCTGCGTCCTGTTGGATTACTGCAGCAGCTCAGTCATCTGATTCAACCAACAAAATGGGAAATGGTAACTTATTCTGTCAAATGTTGCTATTTGATAAACACTGTTGGAAATATAACTGCAAATAAGTTAATATGTATATATGGAGTGTGCCAAACCTACAGGTCTGTGGAGGTACTGCAGGGGGGCTGCAAAGTATTCGTTCGACTGATTAAATTCTAAAATGTATTTTCCCAAGTTGACGTTTGCACTGGTATCAGTTGACCAGACGTGTTTATTAATAGCCCTCCTAATTAGTGTTTCATGCTTGGATTTAATTATTGGAATCTCTTAGTAATGAATTCAAGTTAGCAAGAAATGTACATTTACAGAATTAGCCCTTTTTTATGTAAAACGTTTTTATATAGCAATCTTTTCTGCTCCATCATTTTCATATACGCATTCAAGAAACCTGCTTCAAACACCTGTGTGGTCTGTAATGGACTTGTTTTCTAAAAGACAGAAGTGATTGTTTGCTTTGAAACACAGGAAACATTTTCTCTCTGCCACTGAAGCCCGGTTTATTTATTCATTTTTTAGATTCTTTGTCTGCGTTTTAGAAATGAAAACAGAGAGATTCTGTGAGAATAGCGCTGTTTGCACAACCATTACCCTGACCCTACCACTGCTTCTTTGTCAAACCAATGACTTCATTTTTCTTTTCCATGGAGAATAAGCAAACCAAATGCACACAGAGGGACAGAGAAAGTTTCATTGTTTCACTTTAACCAGCTTCTACGAGCTGAGAGGAGAGAAAACCGTGTCACTGAAGTCACACACTTCACGCTCACCCTCAACACTATCTCCAGAGAGCAGCTGTGCTGAGAAACTTTGACTCCTTTGTACATATATGGGCCGGCTCACCTCCCCCTGACTTCCTCTGCCAATGGTACAGTCCATTTAAAAAAAGGTGCTTGTCATCTCTCAATGCTCTGTGTCCTTTCAACAGTCAGCTGCAGGGAGCACATTTCACAGGACCACTGCCGGCTCTCTGACACGCTCACACACTCACTCACTCACACACACACACTCACACACACACTCATGCAGTTAAGGAACTCCCACTCAGAAACGCACACTTCCTCATGCGCACAGACACACACACACACACACACACACACACCATCTCCTCCACAGTGCACTCTCCTTCCAGCAGATCTACATTTCCCTCTGAGCTCCATGCCACTCTTTACAGAACAGGACAAACTAAGGATTTAACTTGGCGCACTCTCTAGAAAAAGACACCCAGAGCAAACAGAAAGAGGATTTTCTTTTGGAAGAGGAGGACACCCTCCCTGACAGGAAATGGTCAAGTTGTCAGAATGACATCTTGTGTGGATTCCTCTGTCCTCTCCAGGCAAAAATCCTGAAAATGATGGATGACAACAAGCAGTTGGCCCAGCGCATCGATGGGGCCATTCAGTCAGCCAGCCAGGAGGTGACCAACCTGCGCTCAGAGCTGAGCTCCACCAGCCGCCGACTGGCTGAGCTGGGGGCTACAGACTCCTCCGCCGGCATGAGACCTGAGACCCTGCAGCACAACCACAACGGTAAGAGAGCCCACTCACAGGCTGGACTGAAGGAAAGTGTGTCCTGAGAAGGTGAAAGTATGAGGAGCATCTGGTACCACGGAGATGCTGATATGTGAAATATGCTGCCGTGTGTGTGTGTGTGTGTGT